AGCATGCAACACTTTGCTCCGCAAGACCCCGAAGCAATCGGTGCGCGTCTAGAGGCTTTTTCAAATTACGAAAACGCGCTGCTAGAGCTCCTGCAGCAGAAGATGTCGGCATCATTTGAGTCAATGACGCCACCGCCAGTAACGGATGCCTTCCCCCGCCCTAAGCCGCTCATGGTGAGCGTTAAGGTCTTCGGTGGGAAGGATGGAGAGAATCTCCTGCTCTGCGTGAGAGAGGTCGAGATGGTAATCGCATCCGCCATGCTCCAGACCGAGCAACAGCGCGTGGCGCTAGCCATCTCAAAGCTCGTGGTCGGGCGAAAAAATGGGCACTGACGTGCGGCACTTCGGTCGAAGCTGCGATTCCCTCCTAGGCGGAGCTGAAATTGCAGCTCTCACCAGTGTTCTCACCGCCAAATCAGGCATATCGCGCGCGATCGCGTTTCCTTGCTGCCTGACAGGGCAACAAGAAATTGGTGGGCATTATCCAAGTGATGCGCACTCTCATTGCCGGGATGGCAGCAGATCCTCTTTCTGAGGCGGTCACAGTTACCATCTTTATGGAAGGCCTCCGCACTGGCGTGGCCAGAATGAAGGCCTTCCGTGTGCATCCGTCTTCACTTGAAGAAGTGGTGAATGTGGCATTAATGCCGAATTCAATTTCAAGTCGGCACGTCTTGGTTGGGATGCACACCCCAACTGCTCGTCGAGCGAGTCTGTGCCCATGGATCTCAGCTATGCTGAGGACGAGGGAGAAGAGCTCCGAGCTGCCAAGCAGCACACAAATATACGACAGTGTTTTGTCTGTGGAGACACCCGTCACCTTCGGAACGGTTGCCCCGTGCAAGGCGCTCCAAGGTTCTTCGAACCATCGCCGCAATTTCTACCAGTCTGGTTCGTCGCGGGGAAGCGACACCACCCAGTAGGCGCGGGGCGACCTTCTGGGGAAGAACTGAGTTTTGTTGAGCCTCAGGGAGGTTGAGATCAACAGAGCCCAGCCCCGAAGAGCTCCGTGCTCTTGAACACGGAACGTGAATGCAAGCCGGGCTTGCTGAACGTGGAGGCGACCGTTAAGGGCTTCGAGAAGCCATGGAAAATCCTCATCAATTCCGGGGAGTCGGGCAATTATGCTCGAAGATCCACGATGGAAGAAAGTCAGCTGTATGTTGAGGCGCTGAAAGCGCGGTTGGGTGACATCGTCACTGTTCGCCTAGCGACGGGGACA